AGCGGGGCCCCTCTGCGGCTTTGCTCCACGTCTTCCTGGTCTGCAGACCAGGGAGCGCGGGAGCAGCTTTTCTCGCCCGGAGTACACGGGCGTCGGGACCGCGAGGTCCCGCAGTCCGTGTACTCTGGGGCAGCCCCGTTCGTAACTGCGGATCCGACATAAGTCGGATCCGCGTAAGTCGGGGACTGCCTGTAGTGACCCCAAGGCATTGTGGTCCAGATTTTGACCCACAACTTTGGCTGCTCTGTATTGCTCTGAAACAGCTAAGAAGTCAGCTTAACTAGCTGTCTGGAATTTTCTGTCCCAGAGAGACTCTGGGTGGGATGGGCCAGCCTAGTGACTCTGTGCCTGTCTGCCCTTTCCCCTTGAACTCCAGCACTGGAGATGTGGATGGGGGGATATATGACTGAAACAGACATGGTGTAACCAGGGGTCAGTGTTGCTTAGTGTCTCGTCTTGGGAGTGTAGGATTCTATTATTGATTCTGCACTTCCCTGTTGGATAAATCATATTCTCACTGGGTGCCTCAGTTTCCCCTGATGCCAAATAGCAATAATGATACAACCCTCCTGCTTTGAGATTATTTGTGACCCTCTGAAAGCACCCTCTCTTCCAGCTCCTCTTTGCACTAGAATGACCGCAGGGTGAGAAGCAAGCAGGTGTAAGTTAGAGCAGCTCTCAAAAGACATGACTTCATAACAGAATTTGTGTTTGGTTGAAATTTCTCATTTTTTTCAGTTCCATGGTGAATTTCACCTGGGGAAGACTGCTTGGTTGTTTTGAAGCCAAAGCCATTGAACACAATGCATTTCATTTTAGATCATCTTATTCTTCAGTATCTTACTGCTCTCTCTCTAATAAAAAAGACACTACAAATGGTCTGGTAGCACTTTATAGACTAACAAAACATGTAGATGGCATCATGAGCTTTCGTAGGCACAGCCTTGAAGTTTTTACATAAAATACCCAAGACATTCCAAAATGCTGCAGCTGCCCTATTGGCAATAATTTGGCCACTGTACACATTATTTCGAGAAAGCTCGAAAATACTACAGAAGCACAAGGAGTTCAAATTACATTTGTTGCAGTGAACCATAGTTTAGAATTCCCCCATTTCCAGCTGAAGGAAATCAGGATGGAGAGGAAATCAGGTTGATGGAGGAGTCTGTAACATTTAAAGATGTTAGAGACAGGGATGGTACAGCCCGCCCCATCAAAACAATAGATTGAAACAGTGGCAGGTGGTAGACAGAAATGAGAACAGAGCTTTGAGCATCTCCACAAAGGAATCATCTACTGTCAGCAAAGCAGTCCCCAGGGACACAGAGAGGTAGGAGGAATGCAGGTGAGGAAGAAGCCAGTGACATGAGTGTTTTCTTCAAAGCTTTCCAAGAGGAGAGTGTCAAGCAGTGCACTGAGGTCAGAGAGGATATAGAAAATGATTTCAGCCTGGGTCAATAATGTATCATAGAATCATAGAATACTAGGACTGGAAGGGACCTCGAGAGGTCAGCGAGTCCAGCCCCCTGCCCTCCTGACAGGACCGAGTACTGACTAGACCATCCCTGATAAACATTTA